AATTTTGCCCCAAAGGGTAAACAAGTTGGGAAAGCATTAACTGGGAGAATCAACATGTTCGTGCTTACGGTCTTCAGGTGACATGCCCCTGCATATGATTTTTTCTTGACGTGATCCGCCAATTATTCAACATAGTTTCAAGCCTTAAAAGAATAAACTCATCACTGGTGCTTATGTGAGCTTCCTTGATATCAAACAAATGTTTTGCAGTTAGAAAAAGTTTACAATGAGAATGAAAATTCTAATGCAACAATTATGTAAGTCTTGAAGATTTTGAAAGATATCGCACAAATTTTGCGAGTTAAAGCACCATTTATTTTTGTATAGGAAAAACATATGATACCAACATAACTATTTAGAACATTCATGGGAGTCAGGAACACTATCTCATTGAAGTATGCTTTCAAAATAACCTTGCTTCAATTAGGACTTTTGAAGGTTGTAACGTGGTCTGGTTCATGGTTTTTAGAAAAAAGATTTTAAGGGTCAAAATATTTGGTGCCCACCCATTCTTCATGATGTTCTCCAACCCTATGTTCAGTTAATTCAACATGAGTGTTCATCTCTCAAAAGGATTTTGTGACGGTCAAGGAAACGACGAGGCTTTCGGAGTAGAAACCACCCCCATGTCTTCGTGTTTGTAGTCACCAATTTGTTCTTTGCTGAGGACTTTTCTTTGCAGTCCTTTTCTTTGCAATTTTATTTTCCCTAACTTTTGCCTGAACTAATTCTTTTGAATTGATAGTCCAGCGGGATGCCTTAATTTTGCCTAAGTCACACGTTTTCATGTTTTTTTTTTGACTTAGCAGGCTTTTCTTTTTTCTTGATTTTTGACTTTTTGAACAAAATGTGTGACATTAGCTTGCATTTGCTTGTTGAGAAGATTGTGATTGCCTCGTTTCTTGATGAATGAGGGATAACATTGTGATTACACATCTTCTGGCTTCATTATACATGAAAGATATCCCTCGTAATTTCTCTTCAGAAATATCTTCCTAATGAATTTTGAACACTCAATCGGATTAACTGAAAACTACCCTGCCCCAGGTTAAAAGTTGAGGGTTTTTTCGTATAGAAAAGAAACTTCTACTTCAAGGCTCAAAAGGGGTTAGCAAGGGATTATCTTCCTTATATCTCCGGTGTTTATGGATTAGAAACAATGCCTGTACATCATCAACAAGATTTTATTCAAAAGCATACAACCAGAGATTTTGTGTTTTTTAGATCATCATCCTCCCTTCAATCTCTGCCTAGGAAAGAGAATGGGAAACAAGTTGGTATCATAATGCAAAAAGAAATTTAAAATTTGAAAACAAATATGAGTGAAACGAATGAATTTCTTCAAGACAAACATACCCATTGTATTAAGATAATCATTCAGATGCAAACAAGTTCTTACATGCAAACAATGTTTTGATAAACAAGAAAAACTACAAAAAGCACGAATAAGTTAATAATCTAGGAAGGCTTTCCATCTGGACTTGAATTACCGAAAACATCCTTCAAAACTCAAAGTGACCATCAATCGTGTTTACTCTTCGGCACATGCTTGATTTGAACTTCAAAACCAAACGTCCTTGAATGACAAGATACCACTTCTGACCAACTCCTGAACCTCAATCTTCAAAGCAAAGCAACCCTCCAAGTTATGCCCAGGAGCACCTTGATGAAAAGTACAAGCCAAATCAGCTTTGTAGTACCAATGTATCTTCTCAGGAACCTTCGGTGGAGGTCGGGTCTGAACCAAATTCCTCTGCATCAGGATAGGGAACAACTCTGTATAGGTAATTGGAATTGGATCAAACTGGGTTTTCCTCTGATTAGGAACTTGCTGATTCTGTTGATGAATAAGAGAAACATGATGATTCTGACAATGATTATTTCTTCCTCTGGTTCTCTTCTTGGAAAAGTCATTATCAAACTTCTTCACACCATTAGCTGAGCTACCATCTTCATATAAACATCCCTTTTCGACGTCTTCTTCTAGACGCACTCCCACATTCACCTTGTCAGGAAAGTCATTAGGTGCATTAACCATCACCTTCTCATGAGAGAATGATTTTAGAGTTTCAGTGAAGACTTTTATCATTGCTTCCTCCCTCCTAGAAGGATTGACTTGGGCGGCAACCAGAATTTCAACCAAACCATTTAAATGCTCCACACTAGCTTTCAAATTAGTCATCTCTATGTGGAGTTCAGAAATCTCTTGCTTGATATTCTCCATTGTTCTCTTAGCGCGAGCGTTGCACTTGTGAGACCAAAGGAAAAATAAGACTCGGAAAAAGACCTTTGAAAGTGAAACAAAAAATGTAGAATGATGTATGATATGCAAAAGAGAGTTTTTATTTGATTTTCAAGGAACTCAAGATATTAAGTTGTAAACATTAAAGTATGAAGATAGAAGATGATTTTAAATTGGCTCCAAACATTGATCAAGTTATCATCAAGATCAATCATCCATTTTGGTGGATTAGGGTTTTTGCCCTATCAACACCCAAGATCCATTGAGCTTGACGAAACTTGTGATGTTTACAAAGAAAGACCTCCAAATTCCTTCAAAGTCAAGTGAAAAGGGTTTTATGGATGCATGAATGCATGGCTATGCAACAACCACAAGCAAGGTCACAAATAAAGTCGAAAGGTTCAACGTCACGAGCATGGAATCAAGGTAAGGAACACCCCTAAGGTATGTACTAACGGTTTAATCACATCTGTAGAACAAGGTTCTAAGAGTTCCCGGAGTCTACATTCCTCCTTCGGATATTACCAACGTCTTGATTACTCAATAATCAATAATATTCTCAAGAGAAACTCATCCGAGCATAGCATCGCGTAACAATTACTTTCGGATTACTCCGTTATAATCTCCGCGCTACACCTAAAAGGCCAAGATGGGTTAGGGTTTTACGGTTCTCAGCTTCTCTGGCTCCCAGGTCGAAAATAATAATGTCTTCCCGATTACTCGGTAAACAAATATTACGTTCAAAAGGGCCTTCCACTGAGTGGGGGATCTCATGCCTCCTCCTTCGGGATTACTCCCTCAAAGTTAACATGACTATACCGCCCGTCCTATTCCTAAGTGTAACTTAGTCCGGGTATAGGACTTGTCCTTTGTAAATATTATCAACACCCAAATAATCATAATATATACATATAATCAAACAATCAAATAATGATAAAGCAGATAAAACAAATTAGGCTTAACCCACTTAGGGATGGACCAGCAAGAGGTCAATCTTTCCCCAGCAGAGTCGCCAATTCTGTAGCGGTGAAAATCGGAGATCAAGCTATTAATTAACTTGACTCGCAAAAGCAAGAGTCGCCACCGCGCTTTATTATTTCCAAGGGAAAAGGGAAAAGAGCGAAATAAAACCCTAAAATATGCAATGTATAATAATACTTAAAAGTAATGAAAATACAATGCGTTTTGAAAAGAGATCGAGAGTTCGGGGGTTGGTTATACAATGGGAAGGTATTAGCACCCAATGCATCTGCGGTACTCCGCAGGAACCTTTTGAAATATCTGTTTTTTGGTTTAAAATTGTTTGTTTGATTAAAATGGTTCGTTTGGCTAAAAATAGGTGTTGGAGAGATTTTGAAGATGTGATAACCTAATGTCGAAGTTTTAACTTAAAAGGTATGAGTTTGAAAATGGAGTCTTTTGGGAAAATTATCTTAAGTTTGGAAAAATAGTAAACAAGCAAAAAATGAATGAGGCTATTCGCACGATTGTAGAAGACGTATTTGATGACATGAAGTCAGCTGAGTTGAAACATTTCCCTTGGAATTAATCATAAGTGGGTAGATCTAATATCCGAGTAAGAAATCATAAATAGTTAAAATCCACGAGAAACGAACAAGGTAGATAACAAGATAAATTGTAAGAAACTAAATGAATGGACAAAGAAGAATCATGAATAAAAGAAAAGTGTAATTAAAAAAAATTATCTAGACTAATTTGAAATTCTAAGGTTACTAAGTAAACTAAACTTTAAATTCTAAAGTGTCTAACTAAATAAAATTTTGAAGTTATTAACTAAAACTAAATTAAAATTCTAAAGTTACTAACTGAAATTCGAAAGTTATTAAATTAAATCTAAAATAAATTAACACTCTAATATTACTGAATTAGGTTTAAACTAAATTAATTCTAAAGTTGCTAAATTACATCTAAACTAGTTTAAGTATAAACTAAATTCATTATAAAATTACTAATTTAATCTAAACTATATTAATAATAAAATTACTAACTTAAATCAAAACTAAATTAATTCTAAATTAAAGATTAAAATTCTAAGATTAAATTAAAATTCTAAAGTTATCAAAATATATCTAAGCTAATTGGAAGTCCTAAAGTTATAAAATAGATCTAAACAAATTAAAATTTTTAAGTTATCAAAATATACCTAAACTAATTAAAGGTTCTAACATTACTACTTTATATCTAATTAAATTAAAATTCTAAAGTTATTAAATTAAGTCTAAAACTAATCTAAATAATTAAGATCATCTAGTTAACTAAAACATAGTTGTTTAATTAAATCTACAAATAACTAGATTAACTAAACTAATTATTATTTAAAATAAACAAATTGAGAGGGTATAACTAAGAAAATTTAACTAATTTAACTAACTAAAAATATTTTTAGATTTTCTAATATATCTTTTTTTTATTGCATTTTTAAAAATGATAATAAATTAAACTATGATTAATATTAATCTAAACTAATTAAATTAAAAAAACTAAACGTAGGAAACTCTCTTACATTTCAAACTTATTTTATTTTTTTAAAAATATATAATAAAAACAAACAAACCAAAATTTTTGATATTGACTTATTAAAACAAACTTATTTCTTAACCAACATCTACGTCATAACCATTTTTTTCACTTTTTTTAAATGAACCTAATTACATGCTGACACCTAGAAAATATTATAAAAAAAGCAGAAAATATCAAATTAAATAAAAACTAAAAAAAATGGAAATTAGAATGGTACTTATGCAGTTGAAGAAGAAAACTTTGAGTTCCAATATTTTTCAATATCTTCTGCGCTTCTTCCTGGAATCCTTCCAGCAATGAGATGCCATCTTTTTCCAACCAATCTAAACATTTTTGCAACTATATCTTCTTCTTCCGGGGAGAATTCCAGCTTAGTCTCGCGTTTCATTTTATCTGAAGCAGAAACAAATATAGATTTGCAACAGATTAGTTAAAAACAAAACACACACAGAAAGAAAAAAAACATAAATATTTGTGTGTTTGTGAGAGAGAGAGGAATTGGATTGCTGTAACGATGAATTGAATAGGAGATGGATGGTGTGAATTGGTTAACAGTGGAAGAGAGGGGTTATGGGTTATGCGTGGAGAGAGAGGGAGGAAGATTGAAGATGAGGGAGTATTATTGTATTGCTTTTTTGTTGTTGTTTTCACTCCTCTCCCTTTTTTACAAAGAACCAAGGCTACTTAAATAGGACAATGAAAAGAAAAAAATATGATTTCAAAATGATCTGCTCCGTTCAAAATAAATTCAATTTACTGATCCGTAACTTTTGTTAGTAACCAATAGGAATCAAGCATAGTATAATCAATAATTTTTTGTGACCAAAAAGTCCCTGAATGACAAAAATAAAATAAAACCTGAAAGTATAAAAAATAACTCAATTTAAAATAATTTTTTTGAATTTTTTCTGAATTAAAAGTAAAGACACAAAATGACCGAAAACGATAAAAAACAGACGAAAATTTATCCGATAAAATAAAATGAACACATTAAAATAAACTACATGTCACGAAGATTAAAGAAAAAATATTCAAGAAGTCAAAAATCAAAAATAAAATAATAATAAAAATATCAGACTAAACAGACGTTTAAGGTTAAAAACGAGACTTCGAACTGTACCGAAAAAATAAAGCGAGCATACCGTCATAATCTACGTGAAACGCAGATTCATAAAATGATCGGTAAAAGGTGAAAACTTGAAATATTTTCTCGCTAATTTCCCGCATAGTGTCGAATCGCTTTTAACAGTCTGTCTATAAAACCGAAATATTTTTATTATCGACATATAAACAACTTGGAGCAATGCAAGAAACGAGTAAAGAGATAAAAATGCATGAAGTGAAATGTCAGGTATTTTTTAACTAAAAGACGATGCAAACTTTGATTTAAACTGACTTTTCTGGTCAACTTAAATACGACTAATGATGCAAAATATGATGAATGAAGATATTTACTAATGATCGTGACCAAATAACAAAATATGATATGAAAGTGCGACTAAAACATATTAGGGGCGAAATTAAGGGTGCAACAGTGTGCCTTGATGAATCAGTCTTCGAGAATCCACAATCAACCGTACTTCTGGCTTGGGAGACTCAAAACTTTAATTGAGGCGCGACACCTGATGCTCTTGATTCAGACTTGTCTCTGCACATGAAGCAAAAGAAAACATGAACATACACCTTTGTATGGGATTAGAAATTAGTGATACATATGCTAAAAATGTTCAAAACACTTGACAATCTTCGCATAGTCAAAACTCGAAAGTGAGACGTTAAAACCGACCGTATTTCGTGTCCTTGACTTATCTTAAAATGCAAAAATAAAAATGGGATCTTAGGTAAAAAATTGGGGTACAACACATAAACCCTAACTTGTGAAGAGAAACCAATCAAAACCATCTTCCTTTCTTGTATAAAGGCCATGACCGCATGACTTGAGATTCAACTAATAAGTGTCTTCTTTTCTGATGAAGACAAAACAATAGAAACCCTAGCTTATCGTGCATACCCTGAAATTCCTTTAATGGCCTGCACCTTAAGCAATGATAGAATCCCTTGAATGATGGTATCCACTGATCAACTCAAGACATCACAAAGAAATGCTTCTGAAGTCCACATGATTAGGGAAATAAACCCTAATTTATGTGGAGACAATAAGCACAAGGAGATGGCCTCTAATAATTGAGTTTACGACTCTTGGAATAACATCTCGGGATAACTTGTATTTTAAGCAACCATGAACATCTCATGTGTGGAATGAAGTCATAATAAGATCTTTAAAAGATGACTATCAAGCCTGGAGTCTTTATCAAATAATCCTCGCCCAATGGACAAAACCTAATCCATGGTCCTTGCATCTTTAGTTGAGATAAACCTGTAAAAGATAGAGAAACTCTAATGCTCAAGTGAAACCCCAATCCCATGCTACATTTATTGATTAATGATGCATGATATGCTAAATTACCTAATGGAGGTATTTACATGATTATAAAATGCATAAGTCAGATAAAAGTAAAATGGTAGGATAAATTTAGGGTATGGCAGGCACATTCAAGGAGCCCGTTCGTATTAATAAGTCAAGCCGCAAACATATGCTTTATATCATCATCAAGGATGACCTCCCCGCGCTTGGTAACACACTCGGGATGAAGTTGTGAACGTAAGCCACAAGCTTGTTGTAGGTCGCCAAATCCTCCCCCTCCAAGTTGCTCGACGGCACAAGATACTCCTCAGATTTCTGATCAAAATGATCCCGACTCCAAGCAAACTAGAATCTCTGAACCTGGTGCCTCCTCTACCGGCCATCCTCGTTGAGGAGGGGGTTCCCGTCATCATCCCTCATACTCTCCTAGACGAGTAAGAAATCAATAACCCTCATAGACACGGGCAGAACGATGTAGTACTTGTCCATGAACGTACAGATAGACTCTGAGTACGCCTTAAAAAGCTTTTTTGACTGCTTTAAAGAGACCCAGGAAAACTGTCCCTCTGAGGTCGTTTGTCGCTGAAGGTGAGAATATGGCTACAGTAGCCCCAACCTTGAGGTAGTCACAAACAATCTCAAATGTTCGAGTAAATGCGAGCGAGTTAGGCTGAAGTTGCAAGGGCGCCAAATCCATATGGGAAAAATTGTCATCCAAAGGTCTGAGAAAAGCCACGGAAGACCCATCTCTTTGAAAACATATTCATACACAGGGAACCGGTCAGTATCATATGGCGAGCAGATCCGTTCATCCTTCCCAGAAAATAATACTCTCCATTCCTCCTCAGCACCTGACGAACTCGTTTCGCCCCCCACAGCTGTAAACGCCTCCTTGGGGACGGAGGCAAAAATCAAGGCTATCCCCCAAGGCTCTGGTAAATCCACTCATGAGGCTCTTAGGTTGTTCGCTCTTCTTAGGAAGTCTCGATCAACTCGACCATATTTTCATCCTCGGAATCAGTAGCCATTTTCACCTAAATAGAAGAGGATAAAAGTGAATTCGATGATTAAATCAAATACATCCTTCCATCGCTAGTCAAGTGAAAGGGTGTACAAAGGCACAAGAACAGTGTCCTCGGCCAAAGCCCTTACTCAAACAACAAACGAAGTTGTAAGGAGATCCTCCCCGGCAAACAAATCCATAAACCCTCACGAGGAGAGTCTCCCGACACACTACCAAGAAATTCATTTGAAGATTCATCAAAAATTTCATACCTTCATCGAAAAATGTATACCTTCATCAGAAAACTCATGAGTCCCACCGGCAACGAGCTCGTCCTTCTCCAGAATCACAACGCTGAAACAACCAGAAAACACTCAGAATCCAGCTTAACCTCACTTTCTCGACGGCGATGGCGTTTGAAACGCAACAGTCGCCGTCAGGCGCCAACAGTCGCTAAAGCCACGGTTCCATAACTAACTACAATCCTAACCACATTCATTCTAGGTATAATAAAGCTAAGACTAACTTACATAGTGTGAACTCAACCTTCTTCAACATCATGTTTTGATGATGACAACTACTATGTGCATTTATCAAAGAATGAGAAAAAAACATCATGAAGCAATATGGTTATGGGTCAATAATGCAAAATTATGAAGAATTGCATTGATATTTATTTATTGAGGCATAAGCATGCAATATATATTGATAAAATAATGCTCAAAATAATATCCAAATTCACTTGCATGCATGGTTCATTTGATTGAAATTATTTCACTATTTCTAGCTTTAAAACAAAATATATTTTATCATACTTTTGAAAATTTATTTTTCATGTTTGAACCATGTTAAATCACTTTCAAATATAATCTATTTATTTGTATAAATCAATAGATGTTGCATAAGTTTGGTTCAAATAATTAGAAATTTTTTTAATTTTTTTCAATTTTCAAACATTCTATTTTTGGTAAATTATGATAGTTTTACTATCGTAACAACACTAAAATCACCCTAATTTGCACCGGTCTGAAGCAGTATTTTATTTTTGAATTCAAAAAAAATGTTATGCATTTGTTAAGCCAGGTATCCGTTAAGACTGACTTAACAAGCCCTATATGAATTTGAAAAAAACATCAACTTTTTAACACCTTTTCATGCACTTCTTCATGAACCCTTTTCATTTTAACTTGGTATTTTTTCATAATATTTTTCCATGACTTCACCATGATTCATAAAAGTGTTATGCTCATATAAATACATGAAATTTAAAATTACAATTAACCTTTTACATTGCAATTTAACATCATTATAATCATTCAATTTTAAAAACAAGTGTTTGTGTTTTTGAACTTTCACAAGGAATTTTTCCGCATGTATTTCCATATCAATCTAGAAAAATTCATACCATATTTACAAACACTTGAGTACTATATTCTATCATTATAAGTTTCTTGTTTGTAAGGGAAGATCAATCATATTGATACATCACTCAAAGTGATAATTGTTCTACAATTTCATATTCCTAAAAACTCTTGTTATATTCATATCTTATTTTCCAGGATAGTTGGAATTAAGATTATTTGGTTTTGTATTCCTTATTGTCCAGGATTGTTGGAAGCAAGAGGTTGAAAGTGAGAGGATTATTCTCATTTCAACTTGGTTGATCCAAGAGGATTATTTTTTTAGGTTTTATTGGTTAGAGTCTTGTATAGAAAGACTAGGTTGTCTTATCTAGAGATCTAACAATAATGAAATCTCTTTCATGTTAAAAGGGGACTGGAGTACTCTCGGACTGTGAGGGGAACCAAGATACATCCTTGTGTTCTTTACTTTTCTGCATTTATCGCTTTCATCTTAAATTATAACTAGAAAAGAAAGAAACACTTAAACACCAAACCAGAAAAATAAGAACACGTATTCTAAAACCGGATAATTTTTCAAAGTCCTAATTCACCCCCCTCTTAGGCGCACTCAAATACTTACACAAGGAATAAAAATAAGAAACTTACAAGGTCAAATAAGTGGAATTCTGGTCGAACGATGCAGACGCAATAGCAGAAGGCGGCGAACGGCAGAAAAATGAAGAGAAAAGAAATTGTGAAAGCCGAAAGCGAAGAAGAGAGAGAAGCGAAAAATGAAAATGGCCTTCTGCTAACCTTATTTATAGAATAATCTCAGTACTCGTGCACGCTCACTCGCGACCTAGGGAAGCGTATGGACCATCATTAACCCTAACCCCTAGACTGTCATCATCACAAACTACTACAATGCATGGCTTGATGCAGGCATGATACGCAAGCTATTCAAAATCCAGTCAATTGTTTGTCTCCCCACGCGTCTGTAATGCGGTGGGAGAACTGACTTGGTTGTTTTGCGTTTGATTGCAAATGTCGCGGTTAGTAAGAGTCGCCACCGACTTTTCTTTTATCCAAAAGGAAAGGTTGAAAAGAACATGAAAGACCTTTGAGATGTTTTCTTGAGTTCGTGGGGTAGATTGTAAAAAGGGAATGTATTATCACCCTTTTTATCCATAGTTATCTATGGGCTCTTAGTTGCTTTCTAGATCACTTGCTTTTGTTTGAAAATGTGCTTTGTGTGGTTTTTGAAAGTATTTTGAAAATGTCTTTGTAATGGCTCTCGTTTCTATAAGAACGCCTACAAAGTGTTTGTTTCAAAAATAGTTCAAAGGAGTGTTTGTGGAAGGTGTTTTTTTGAAAGTGATTTTGAAAAGGACGTCTTTGTAATGACTCTCGTTTCTATAAGAACGCGTACAAAGTGTTTGTCTTTTGAAAATGTTTTCAAGTTTGAAAGATGTTTTGAAATTATTGGTGTTTGTTTTAAAAATAGCAAGGATGTTTTAGTTTGAAAATGAGTAAGCAACTAGGAATATTCTACCTACTCAAAAGTCTTTCTTGTTTATTTCCTCTTTCCTTTGATATTGTTATTTTACCATGGCTTGGTAAGTAACCTTATCTTTGGATGTAAAGGGACAGGCGCAGGTCATCGTGTAGTCATGAATAACAATGTTTCAAGATATCTTAGCATTTTCTTTGAGGGACTAAGATCATTTGTAAGGCAACTTTTGTAGTGTCATCGAGGGACTATGATCTTGTATTTTGTTTGTTTTTGCTAATACATCTTACATGCATATTATGACCATTTTCATAAGGCAACAAAGTGGATTTACCCTAAGGGTGTAACTGTGCAAGTGTATTGATTTACATGCATTGTTTTGTCTTTGAATTAAGGTTTTCTAAACATTGATTTTATCTTTTCATACAAACTCTAATTTACCAGCATTTATATATAAAGAATTAAATTGCGGAAAATAAAAATACTAAGCTATTACATCATTAGGGGAGGGGTGTACAAATTTACAAATGGGGAAATTGCAAGAAAATTAAACCTAAATAATTATTACAACCATATTGAATATTGTACAAAATTGAAGATAAAAATGCAAGAATGCAAATGAGTAAAGAAACATGACTTTTATTTGATTTTTATGAAAGGATTTTAACCTAACCCTAATTATAAAAAAATATTAATTTAAAATTAAATAAAATTAACTTAAACTAAATAAGAAAAGAAATTAACTAAAAAAAGATTTTTTTAGGGTTTTATTAATTTTAATTTTAATTTTAATTTTAATTTTAATTTTAAACCTAATTAAAAGAAAATAATATAATATAATAATTAAACCTAATTATCTAAATATTAATTATTACGAAAGAAATTAATTTATTAATAAAATGTTTTAGTTTTTTTAGTTTTATAAAGAAAAATAAAATATGAGTGCAAAAATAATAAAATAAATATTTTTGTATTTTTATTAATAACAATAAAAAATAATATTAATAATAATAATATTAATTATAAGAAAATATGAAAGTAAAATAAAAATAAAAATGAAAATGAAATAAAGAAATAAAATGGGACAGGGGGTGCTAAACATAGTCAGGGGTTAATAAAAGAAAAAAAACAAGCAGGCCCAATGTTAGAGGCCCCAAACCTGTTCAAACAAAAAAAAGGAAACAGAAAAATATGAAAAAAAGAAGTAAAACGGACGTTGGGGCTCAAACCCAGGTCCAAGGGGTGACAAGTGCGCGCTTTAACCACTAGGGTGGTGATACATCCGTTAACAGTGGCACAAAAATAAATACATAACATAAAACTTGCCCTGACTGTACTTCATCTTCAACTTCCAACCAAAGGATCTGTAACTTGCTCATTCTTCAACCATTTTCAAAAATGTAAACATGAAACTTGTGTATTTTTCACCACGAATCCAACCATGTAACTAATTTAAGCTAACATTCAAAGATAAAGATGAATTTATGAAAGTACCAAATTCTGACCTAAATGTTTCAGCAAGTTTAAACTCAAAATTCTTCATGCTCAAGCAACATAAATGAAATTTATGGATATGTATAGTTTCAGGGCAATGATATCTATATTCTATCTTCACAAATACAAGCCTAACAATGCATATATTTATAGTTCAAAAGTCAGAAAACTCACCTTGCAAGAGGGTATCGTGTTTTTGAGTTTGAGCAGCTTTCGATAAGTTCTAGTGATTGTGTTAGCTTCCTTAAGTTCCCATGAAGCTAATGTGATGCTTGGCTTGAGCTTAAAGTGGCTGAGGAGTTCTGGAGAAGTCCACTTGCAAAGCTCTACTTTTGAAAATGAAACTTGATGATGAAGGTGTTACAATTAGGCAAAAGGACTTTGGATGGTTTGTATTTGATGTTTAGAAGCTTTAGGAATCAAAAGGCTTGGAAACGCACAAGGGAGATGTGAGTTTCAAGTTTTTGGTCAGATTATGCAATAATGGAGTTTTGTGATACAGTTCTGAGTTTTTGTGTGCTTTGGAGCTTGTATATTTGTGTGTTTTGATGAAAACAACTTGTGCATAAGTAAGGAAAAGGTTTTGAGGCTTGAGAGGGTCAGAATCATACAAGTACAAGTTATGGCTATGTTACTTGATTTTGAAGAAAAGTGAAAACATGGTTTCAAGGCAAAGTAAAAGCATGGGCTGAGTTGTTTATAGGCTTTAGACAAGTTTATAAACCTAATTATCTAAATATTAATTATTACGAAAGAAATTAATTTATTAATAAAATGTTTTAGTTTTTTTAGTTTTATAAAGAAAAATAAAATATGAGTGCAAAAATAATAAAATAAATATTTTTGTATTTTTATTAATAACAATAAAAAATAATATTAATAATAATAATATTAATTATAAGAAAATATGAAAGTAAAATAAAAATAAAAATGAAAATGAAATAAAGAAATAAAATGGGACAGGGGGTGCTAAACATAGTCAGGGGTTAATAAAAGAAAAAAAACAAGCAGGCCCAATGTTAGAGGCCCTAAACCTGTTCAAACAAAAAAAAGGAAACAGAAAAATATGAAAAAAAGAAGTAAAACGGACGTTGGGGCTCAAACCCAGGTCCAAGGGGTGACAAGTGCGCGCTTTAACCACTAGGGTG